ATGGCGTGCCCTGCTGGAAAGGGGGTATGTGACAAGACGATCGCAACTCGCCGCGCTGGTGGACATCGCATGCGACACTGCGCCCGAAAATGACTCGTATTTGGCGCCATCAAACACTGTATAACCAAAAATGTCTATGCTGTCAGAGCCCACGTGAAACAGATAGCTCCGATTGACAGCCATGGAAACTCCACGCTCATCGCCGAGCTACGAAGCAGCGACAAGCTAAGCTTGTCGTAACCTTCTCTCAAGGAAGGGTCTGTTCATTTCCACCCAGTCTCCCCCTAATAAGAATGAGCAAATGTTTTCCTCCTCTCAATTCAGACACGTACTCCTTATCCCTGAGATGGAGTGGGCGTGGCATTCGAACATGACATAGGACGGGTGGGATAACACGTGAGATAAACTTGAGTTTGGAGCAACTGTCACCTCATTCAGTTTTCGACATGAACGCAATTGTCTCAAAATGAAAATATCTCACCAAAAGCACAACCACCGCTACGTTTAGTTGAAGAACGCAGCCACGCCTACCACATATCAGGATATTTCGATTGTAAATTCTGGAAGAACCTACAGTGGGAAGTTATTCAAAGGATTTTCGCCGTACGGAAAGCAAAATGGGCCGGCAGCAACATTGATAGATGGCAGAGCGAAAAAATCTCTCAAAAAAGCTTGCCCAGCGTTGCAAGTAGCGGAAAGTATCTGGGCCACTGACGTTCTTTCGCTTGTGACTGAACTATCGGGAATGTGCCATTTCTGTCGAGGTTCACTCCCTTCTATTGTTCTCGTTCCTGGGTGGCGTACATTCCCCACATAGTGCGCTCAGCAGTACTCACTAACAGTTCTCCTCGGCTGGCAGAATGTTTGCCGACAAAAAATTCGGCGTGTAAAACTGTAGTAAAAACCAAGGAATCTGCAACAAACTACATTACAGTACTTCGTAGTACGTACAGTCACAGTACTTCTAGAGTACATTTTAGGCTATCCTTCCATACATACTCACACCAGTAGCATGCGCTACATTAAGGACAAACTACACATCCGTCCCATGTGCGAGGTGAATGGGTCCGCAGCTACAATAGCGTACTACTTTCTCCGCTCAAAAGTGCAAGGAAACGGGGCTGGAGAGTAGTGTTACTCGGTGCCGGCTCCACACTACGTCCGCGTCATCCCGAAGGTGCAGCACTTGCGCGGTTACCGAAGTCCCGCAGCAAAACGCATTTTCTGCGGTAGAGAACAATCATAAGTGAGGGTGCTGACAAGTAGAGCGATTAGCCAGGATTCCGCGTGAGGGAGCAGGGCACAGTATGGAGACGGCGCCAAGGCTCAGCATCACTGAGAATTCCTCAACATGAAGGGTCGTATTTGGTCCAGGAAACTTTTTTCGTTCGCTTCACGGGAGCTATACGGCTTGATCGTATCAAAGGAGGGAACTAGGCAGTGGGGTCGTATAAAGCAACTCTCTGGAGGGGCGGGGGTCGTATGGACTCGCTCAAAATCCCTCCCCAACCAATGATGTGCCCTGGTCGGATCGGGGTATCACTGTACTGCACCCTTTTGCCTTCAGTTTTGAGCGGGGAAAGTGACATGCTACTGCACGGTGTGGACTCATTCACCTCACCGTATCGTCGTTGGGATATCCCTCATACAACTCTCTTATCGTTTCTGGTCTATCTCCCGCACCGTTCACTGTATCGTCACCACTCGCGTATCACTAAAGGGGTGGGCACGAAGGGTGGGGGTGGGCGGTTGCTGCCAACGTCATTGGTGGAAAGGTTACAAGGTGTTTGGCCGCATCTCATTCAGCCCTTCCACCAGTGACGTTGGCAGCCACTGCCCTTACCCCCACACGGATTTCACCCCATCGTGTTCAGTCGTGTTCACTGCCTTTAAGCTCTTCCAGTGAACATGATCAATCGTACGATAGGGCGGTTTTTTTCCCTGTAGATAACTGTTTTTCCACGTTTTCCTCTTCACCACTAGATCGGCAGCACCTATGATGTTGCTTTGGGTTCCGTTACCTACAACCTGCAATTGCGGAATATATCCACCTGACGTACACGCGCGTGCATAACTGAAGTCAGGGCAAAGCGTGCTCTCATTTTCCCCCATACTCTCTCAATTCACGGGCGGCCGGCGCCGGTCGATTCCCGTCTGCTGCTGCGTCCCCTTCTGCAATTGTAGTGGGTGGACGGGCCATCACGAAGTCTGAACGCTGTCTAAAATTGTCACGCCGCTTAGTACCACCAAACTACTTTGCTATCAGAGTTTCAAGAATATCGAACTGGTTTCCCATACTGATTTTATCATGAGTTTCCAGACAGCAGAATTACGCCTCCCAGAATTGGTTTATCAAGTGTAAACTGAAGCTCAGCAATTCCTTTTATACAAATCAGTTATAGTAGAACGGGAGGGCCACGGATAAAACAACACATCGATGTTATTGATCAGTTGAACGAAAACCGATTTTCAGCTCCTAGAGGAGAGTCGTGATGAGCGTACGTATTCTTAGACAGAAATGAATGACTGATTATGTAAACACAACATTGGTATTCGTTGGAATGGAAAGACCTTCACAAGTTTTTAGCGAATAGTTTATAATTCGACATCACATCGTTGAGCCACCCAAGTCCCTTACTATCAAATACAGCTCTTTTTTCGCATCTTCGGAAACCAGTCGTCGTGCTGGCTGCTTTAACTCTTCATACAACATTTCCAGGTTCACATTATCCACACCTCGCTCCTTAATCATCCGCCGAGCCATTGCTTTTACCTAAAACAAGGAACTCAGGGGAGTTCAATGAGAGCCGGGATTTGTTATCGACAATCCGCCAACGCCATTGAAATATATACGAGGAGATTCTATCCGCGACCGAGCCACACCGCTCGCTGTCTTCGCACCTAGAAGCGCGGTTAGGTGTCATATGGGGGCATTTTGGGAGGGTTTTTTTTTCTTTTTACCTACAACCTAGTACCTTGTCACTGCTACTTGAGCCGTACAACTCACCAAACGTGCCTTTAAGAAGAGAGCAATGGGGACATGGTACAGCATCGTTGCGTGAAAGCACATGACGGGGGGTACGCCTGAGGGGGCGGTCCCCGTATATTGGTCGCACCTGGAAAGGAGGAGAACTTTTCTGTTCATTGTATGCTAGTACATCCCTCCAGCTTCCACACGACTCTCCTTACCGCTCGCGGAAAATTTAATGGATGAAGAATGTGAACAACTGGTACAAGCAGGTGTTGTGGAAGGGAGGGGGTCGCTACGCGGCTACCCTCTTTCGAAGAGGGGGGGGGGCGACTGACTGAAACCACTACTTCACACATCACGATGCTGTACCCTGAATGGGGAGCGACCCACCTAACAAAGGAGATGTGCGCGGCAGTTCGGCGACAGAGGGGGGGGGGGAGGAGGAGGGGCATTTTGCACGTTTGCTTCTTCCCATCGACGTGTCGACTGTCTAGAGAGCCATTTCGCGAGCTTACAAAGTTGACAGTTTATAACCGTGGCCGGCTCGGTCGAGCTTGCTAGCAGCTGTCACACTAGTTCACAGGTTTCATTCGCAGTAAATACTTGAAAACCAGAACGTAGTGAAGCAACGAAGGGTGATGGTCCCTCCCCGTTCGTCCGCAACTGCGTCGAGACGTGCCCCATTAACAACTTTTGCCCAAAAGCGCAGGAGCATTACTCGCGATTATCTCATGATCACACTGGAGGTGGGAACCTCGCCTCAACCTTTTTTCATGACGTTTTCAACTTGATTTAAAGCTAAAAGGCACTTACTTCGGTAACCCAGCCGTCCTTTCGTAATCGAGCCACCAGGACCTCTTTTGCTCGTTCCTTTTCTCCTGAGCTTGAAAACTCCAATTCAAGATCTTCTTTTTTTTAATTGTTTTTAATACCATTCATTGTCTAAAAATCGCTGCAACTGGATTACGATCACAAAATGAGCAGACACGATTCGGGACTCATGTACAAGGATTCCATACCATAAGATTTTGTTCCTTCAGCCAAGATGAAACTATTTATTTTGGACCTTCACCACGAAATAGATGTAATGGCATCGTGTACAAACAAATTCAAAAAAAACAACAATAACAACAATCAACAATAAACAGTATATCACACATCAACAATAAAATCTGAAAATCTACTTAGCTTTATATTGTTTAGTTTTGTGACCGCCCTTTCTTCGGACTTTAGCTTTCGAACTGAATCTTTGTTTGTTTCGCACTCTTTTTCTTTAGTTTCTTAGTCTCACAACTACTGCTGCCGAAAGCTCGTCCTCGTTCTGATCCTCTTCTCCATCCTTTCGGGGCTTTTTGGCGGTGGACTCGCTTTCGAGACGCCTTTTCCTGAACAAAACATTGGGAAGCGAGTAATAGGGACCCTTGGCCCGGAGCTAAAAATTCTGAACTACAGTCTTCTCCGTAGCCGTTGACGGGGCGTGACACTGGAGGATAATTCAGCGCAATTTAATTATTTGTTACTTACACTCAAGGTGTGCACACAAAAATATCTCAAAATAAACCGTGAAAAGGACTATGGCGAAAACTGCAAATGGGCTTGATGCATTAACACAAAAATGAACTTGACATCTCATATAATAAGTCGGAGAGTTTCGACCACATCGTGTCCTAAGTAATCTTTTTCTTGACGCAGTGATAAAAGAAAAGTTACAGTTCACGTAGTAGCAGATTGAATTCATTCCGTTCTTTTTTTCGACAAGCGGCGAGACTGTATCATATATGTAGTTTGTATCGGTCGTTCCCCAATAATTGTTGTCCCTTATCCACTTCATTGGTGGAGAATAGGCTAATGGCAATCTAAACCCAGCCTCGCTGACACGCCCCTTCATCGGCAGCGAACAAGACTGTACAAAGTGAAGTGGTGATAAATGAAATCACATATGTACAGCCTATCACGAAGACAGAACATTTCGCATTTTTCTGTGAAGCTACATTCAAGCTCACCTCTTTTCCAGTTTCATTCGTTGCCGCTCTAATACAACCTCCTCTTGAAGTTTCTTCAGCTTGAGCTCAGCTTCTTCAAAATCCTTCGAGGTCAACTCCTCAAAGAAAAGTCATCTTTTGAAATAACGATTACAAAACCACTGAAAGTTCTGAAGTGAGATTTCTCTTTCACAAAATGGAAAAACGGTCTCCAGATTACGTTTGACCACTTGAAAACTCACAATTTCTGGCACCGGAGGCTCGAAATGATATGGATCACATCCTTTCGCTGCCATATCGAATCTTAAAAAAAACTCGACTGATAGCTGATGAGAAGAAGCTGCGAGAGTTTGAAATTACACCTTTTGACTAGATCATACAACTTCCTTCGTCGTTTAGAGACAGTTTCGGGCTTTTTGCCTATGTCAAACAGCATTTTACCCAGTGCAACGTAGTCAATCTGAATGATATCTATGAATGAAGTAGTAAGACGTGAAAGGATAGAGAGTATCATCCAATACGCTACCTGAATCCCCGTTGACTCTTCATCTACACCTTCATCAGATTCCATTTTAGAAGCAATCTCTTCTGATTTCTGATGTAATATCGTAGCGAAGATTTCCTCGGCAATCGAGTCAAAAAGGTAATCGCTGAACAAAATTAATAAAAAATGAAAAAAATATGAATCACCTGATGGCTCGGATGCCTAGAAGATCCGCGAACGGTTGCAGACAGGCCGTTATTTGCTTCTTAGTGATGCCACCTAAATTGCGAATATCAAGAACCTTGCGCGTTAAGCAGGAGATGGACCAACAACTGTTATTTGCCGAGGCCATTGCGCGCGCCGTAACCATGCAGCAAATCTTTACCGATAAGCATCATTTGTCAATTAGCAGCGAAAAGCACATGAGTTCAAACGAAGGCAAGACTCCATGACGGGCAGGACCTAATTTTCCCAGATCGTTGGCACTCATATTCAAAGGGACCAGGCAGAATAATACGTCTGTCGGGCGCGCGGGAACGACTCGGCGCGCCCGTTAGCGCGGCACTAACCTAACAACTGTCCTGCACATAAGATTGCTGTATCCTCTCGAAGCCAAATGCTATAAAGCCCCTTGAAGGTAACAATAGGTGATACGCACACTTTTAAAATGTTTAGTGGGTTGCAAAACATAAGCAGGCCACAGTCAATGCCTAAATTAACAAGCAAAAGAGATCATAAACTGCTAATACGACCACCATTTTTGTATGAATAGGCGGAGGTTATTCGAAGAAGTACCAGAATAAAAAGCTTCGTACATTCACCTGCGTTGTCCATCTCGTCAAGAATTATTGAGGCAAAATGGAACTTTAACCCATCCGGAAAAGATTTATCTGAAAGTATGCTTCAGAACAAAAAATATATAATAAAAGAAATATGACACTAACCACTTGATATTGTAGTCCGGCAAAAAGCTGCCCAGTAAGGATCTCGAACTGATTTCTTCCACTTAAGGGAGCTAAGATGAGTAAACAATACCCGAAGAACTCGGCGCATCATCTGAAAGAAGCGCCATTGCTCAACGTTCTTAATTTCCAGTTTGAATTGGTGAAGTCAAAAACTGCGGCAGAAGTGAGAAAGAATGCTTCTATAATATTGGACATCCGGCCCGATACTACTCTGTGAAGGGTAGGAGGCGCAGCTCGGATTGGGGGATTGCACCAAATGGTACTCAGCTAAGCTTGTACAGGTCTTGTGAAGATCCGTAAATTCCCATGACTAAGGCTCACTCGGCTTTCACACAAGCTTACAGGTTTATCCAACTTTTCAGTTAACAAGGACCAACAAAAGGAAGTAGCGAATGTGTGAAATTCCCCCTCCATAACGGATATCGCCCGGGTAGGGCAGCAGATCGAGAAGTTTGAGACAAAAAAACATCGCCCGCGTAGGGCAGCATCAGAGTTGAGACAAGAAAAAATTGCGTCTGCACGACGTTAGGACAATGATGACGGGTTGGATGAATGTTTTCATGTTCATTGCCTTCGGACGACCGTCACGAGGGGGATAGACCAAGGGAGTACGGCCTTAGCAGAAGGAAACCAGATTAGCACTGGATTCAGCGATTTTTATGTGTAGATATCCCCATAGAAGGTTTCTAACTGGTAAGCAAGGATGGGAACTCATGATTCTCTCTCGGAACTGAGTATTTTACAGTGAAACAATAACGAAGAATCAAAGCGGCAGCATACCTCCAAAATTGGGGTACGTATGGATAAGAATAGGACAAGCAATAGAGGATGTGAAAAAACGTAAAGCTTTGACTATGAAACTCACCATAAGAAATTTATCCATCCGCCATCTATCTATGTGATTCCATTCTTTTGCCAAACTTTTAAATACAGATTCGATAAAAAGAACACGTTCCTCTTCTCTGGTAAACACTAGTTGAAGCTGACTAATTCTGTCAGCCAGTTCTTCCTGAAATCGGCAAGAAAAAAAATGGCAACAGTCGAAAGTGGACGCTCTTGCATAAAAGGCAGACCCGGCGACCTCTATTATACCATATTTTCGATAGTCGCGTTCAATTACAAACCTATAGCCGCTAAATGACTCTCGAAAAGAAAAAAGCAAGAAAAAAAATCATGGTCATTAATCCAAGTAAGGACCTCCAGCAGCCGCATTGTACGAGTTCTCCGGACCTGCTCTTTTCACGCCAACAAGTAACTATCCTGCCACCTGTGGCTCACTAATCGTTTCTTTGCATAGTCCTATGCTAATACCATATAAGAGCAAAAGAAAAGAAAAACACGGGGTCAAACCCGATGTAGTGACAGAAAATAGCCTTTGAGTTTCGGTGGGCGGGGCAACTAGGGAGGCGTCAGAACTGCCACTTATGAGAGCCACAGCGCTTTCGTTACTTTCTGTGAAATCGCGATAAAGGGAGAATCTTAAAGACTAGGGTCAGACTGCTTGACTCGAACGAGGAAGGACGCCTACGAATCGCTTGAGCGCGGAGACCATCTTTCAGAGGAGAGAAAATGGGCGTCGTAGGGAAGACCGACCTGTAGTAACATTTTGTCTTGCATCCACAACACATAATGAAGACCTTTGCATAATCGAAGCATATCCGCCTCATTGAAAGCTGAAAATGCGACTGGTAAGGAATATCAGCAAAAAGGCATGTTGTCGAGACTCACGTCGTACTGTTGACTGTTGCTTAATCCATTCTTGCAACGTACGAAAAGCTCGTTGACGTGTGACCGGTTCGCCACATGCAAGCTTCTGAGCGAAAATTACTTCGACGCTGGTCAGATCGGCTTCCATCACCTAAAAAGCCGAAATAGCATATGGGAAACTTTTCTACTTATGGATAGAAGGCGTAGTAGTCTGTTTATTTAAAACACCGTACGCAAGGCGTCACTAAACCAACAAGGCCAGCATTTTGGTGTGGAGCATCGATAGCATTTGAACCCACCACTTTTTCAAACAACCGAATCGGTCCATAAACCCAGAGCTCATTTCCTTATTAGGGTCATGCAAAAAACCCATCCGCTTGGCTCAGAATAGTTTGCTCGCACATTCCAGCACCGAAATGCTCTCCTTATAGGCGTAACGAACAAAACCTGTAAGTCACAAGGTAAATCTCAGCCACAGTTACGAGGCTGAACCGTGTATAAAAAACACCTAATTATTTAGAACGGAGAGCTCCAAGCATTTTTTCATCCGTGTATCAAAATGTTTTGGCGCATGCCGTGCAAGTACGTACCATACGCGTGAGTACACGAGCACTTTTCACCTTTCCCTCGTTTCCTGTTCTTTCATGTCTCTTCCCTTTTCCTACTTTTTCTCCCTTTAAGTGCTGGACGAAAAGATAGGGATGAGAAGATCGTGTCAGGATACTATCCACCGCGAAGCCTCCCTTCTCCCCTCTGTCTTCCTTTTCCTTTCCCTTCGACTGCTTGGCTAGCAAATGCGATTAGAACGTACCTCTGAACTTTCGCAGCGGCAGTTTTTTTTTGTATTTTTGTAGCTATATCGTTGTTTAGTGTCCATCTCCCTTTCAGGTTCGATATGTCGTCTCGCGGACGGCCAACGGCTTCCAAACGTGGTGTGCTACCCAACCTATCGCTTGCTGGGAAACGTGAAGATCGAACCGCTCCTAATCTTCCTAAAAAGAAAAAGTGGGCTATACGACAGTATGACACCTTACATTATAAAAGAGAGTTTGCAATGGTCGTGCCATAATGCAAATTATGGCTAATTTATGGCGCGCTCATACTTCGCGATCCGACCTCATGGCCTGCGCGATTGGATCGCTCGAGCGTTTGAATTGCGCGATCGAGGCGATCAGATCGCGAATTATGAACGCGCTCTTATTAGCGCTGGAATCTGAGAGAGCCGCAGCATAACATAAACTTTATATCCCAGAGATGAGGAGGGCGTGGCAGCTGACTTCAAGCTGACCGTAGCGGTGGCAGCACTTCTTGTGAGATGTTTCTTTTTGGGGCAAGTGTAACCTTTGTCAGTACATGGCAGAGTGACATGTTTCTCAACAGGAAATAGCCCAAAGAGTGCATTTTGCGCCCCGCTCAAAAGTATACAGCCACGCCCTCCGCATCTCCAGGGTATTCAGTAATCATGGTGAGCGCTTCGCAGCATTGGTAGCAATTTGCACACAACATTACACGGAAAAATCAGTCTGGGAAATGCGCACTGAAATCACTCAGAAGAGCGGAAATGGAGTTGGAAAACGTGCAATGGAGTCAGTGAGGTGCCGTCCAGAATTTTTAAGAAGCGATTGTTTTCTATGTTCGAAGTAGTCTTGCCAGTTTCTTTCTCCCACTAGTATCTTTCCATTCTTGCTGTTTTACGTTGGGTATTTTGGAACTCGAGTTTAGCGCGTCACTCCAATGAGCGCAGCGAGTTCTGGCCATGATTCTCCCGTATGTGCCCTGATTTTTTGAAAATAAGTTCAAATTAAGCAGCTTCGTGACGTAGCGCTCCATGGTCTAAATTATATCGCGATTTAAACCCTTCATCCCATCAAGCCTTCTACTTTAGGAATGAGCACCACTCACATCGTGGCGGTAGAGGACGTGGTCGAGGAAGAGATGGAGGCAAAGAACGGCCTGGCCTCATCGAATCCTGTGGAATCTTCTCTGAAGGTCTCAGCGGCGCAGATCCAAGTCGGCGTGTAAAACCATCAAAAGTTGAATTGGGTGATGGAGGTGCGTCGTTTATAAAGATCCACCACTGTTTCTTTGTCATAACACTGTAGCTCAGGAATCTTTTAGACTCTTAATTACTGCTTCAAAGACCAGTGCACAGAATAAGCCTAATAATCGAGTTTAAGCAAGAAAAAAAATTAGGATTTTGGGGTAGTAATAGTTCTGCAGCGCCAGCTTTTCTTCCTTCTAAGCTTTTTATTCTAGCGAATTTCAATAATTTCAGTTATTGCTGGTCGTGTGAAGGAGGAAGCGGTGCCGATGGATGAAGACAGAAAGGCTGGTAAAGTTCTGTCGGGTTATGCTGGCTATGACGAGCTCTGGGAAAGCGATGATGATGGAGACATGCAAGAACTCAGTGAACTTCTCAGAGATGGTGTAAGTGAGAGATGAAGTTCTTTTCTACTTTTTTACTGACTATGACTAACTTCTAGTTCATCTCCGACTACAAGCACGGTACTATACTACCGCATGTGCTTCCGCTGGAGCTTCAGTCTCAGTTCATAGATTTAATGGATAAGGATGTAAAGAATGAGATTCTCGAGCAAGAAGAGGCTTTGAAAGCTGAAATTGACACCGATATCAAGGAACATATTTTGGAGTGAGTGCATTTCTCATGTCAGCCGTTTGCTCTGTTATTTTTGTTAGAACAGTTCTTTCAAGTACTGTCTATTAATACAAAAGGAGCGCATATCAGACTTGGTGCCACATTGGCTGGGATTCAGTACAGGTCAAGGTTTTTTAGTTTAGCACTACACTTTGTACCAACTTCAACTAGCTCTTCTTTCGAAATGTATTTCCTTTGAAATATGTGGCTTTCAAAAGACGTGTTGGTGATTTCATTTGAAATGTTTGGTGGATTTGTTTGGTAAAGGAGTATGCAGAAAGCCTATTTTGATCGTTTTTATTTATGTGGTATTTGTGGCTTCTTTACTTATTTGTTCTTTTTGTTTTATGTGCTGTTGCACGCCTAATGAATGGAAATGGGTGTTGGAGAACTTAGTGCGCTTTTCAAAACGGATTGCTTCATTCTTCACTAATAGGGGTCCATGCATGTACCTCAGAAATATACTATACTTTTCCTGCGCGCTTTTGGGATTACTAAAAGGGACAATCATTAGGTTCAAGTTAGAAAATCCTTTACCTTAGTTTTCATTTTGCTTGGTTTTCAAACCAATAACTTACTGCACTGTAAGCACTCAGTGTTACAAGTGACATACCAATGAGTTGCATTTCCGAGATCCACTTGCGAACCTCTGCAACTATCCGTTGCAAAAAGCGCTCTATGACCTGAAAGACATCCCTTTTTGAGTACACCTCCGGCTTGGAAATTGAGAATCTCAAAGTAAACTGCTCCGATAATGACGAATTGCTTGTTCACATTACCTTTGTTACTAATAGCTGATGTCATCTTTTTCCAATTCATCATTTAAGAGGAACTGATGGTGAGGAAGAAATGGAAGAAGAAAGCCCTACATCAAAGCAAAGTCGGAAAGCTGCGCGGATTTTAAGAAATGTGCTCATGAGTGGTACGAACTTTTTTTTCGTTGAAGTTAACGTCATTTTCACTAGAGCTACTAAGGTTCTTCTATCATCCGTGGCTCACACTCCTTAGGATGTGTTCAGACTTCGTGATGATGTTTGTCGACACAGTAGCATTGCATTAACGCTCCAGTACGCTAGACGGGTCGGCACCGACCGCTAGTGTTTTAGAGAGTGTACAAGAATGGAAGGGTACCAGACTGTGGGTTAGTGTGAAGGGTATAATAGACGAGGAG